TGCAATCTCTGTCAAAAAAAGCTATTCACAACTAATTATGAATTTAACGTGAATAAATTCGAATGCACAATTATTGAGTTGCTTAACATGTTTAAGACTGTTAAGCCCAACATCAAAGTTAATAGTGGGCAAGTCATTGATTTCTCTAAAGATATTAAGAGGAAGTCTAAAGGGGCTTTGTGAAAGCGTCCAATATGGTTAAGACAGTCTAAGCGAAGGACAATACCAAATCTAATGACCCTTGGTTTCATTATAGAATGAAAGGTCAATTGGAAGGAATATTGCGTGACTTACATCTACTTCACGAGTTACTTAGGTATTTGATACCAGATGTAAATCTCATATTTATACAAATATGGAGAAACTAAAAAGAAGTAGACCACTGCGAAAGGGAGAAGTTGACATACACGTTGGAGAGGAGCAAAGTTTGCTGCATTGCCTGTACGAATATACTTCTTGGCTCTTGCCATTGCCTTTTGGTTTTAGTATTAGAATTAGAGAAATGTCGCTTTATACTCACTATAGCTGGAACATTAAAATGAATTTAATGTTCGGACATGAACAATTTTAATGTTAAGGACAATTTTTGTTCTTATTTATCTTGATAAAGATCCCAATGGCTATGGTAAATTACAAAACGACGTTTATATTCTTTAATACTAAGGATTCTATAATGAGCATAGAAATTATAAGACATAAATGCGATAATCTAATTATTACCCAAATCTGGCATGACAGACTTTATCATTTAGATGAAATGTAATTCCAAAGTTACATAAAGATGTATACTTGGAATTAATTGATTTTGACAAGTACAAATTATGCATATCTAACACAATGATCAAATCTTCTTTTACTTGAAAAGAAGAAAAGTCAGCATAATTACTGGTCTAATGCATGGTGATGCATATGGACTTGTGTCAATTAATGTCAGGTAATGTTTCTCTTATTTCATCAATGATCATGTATACTTGATGAAAACTCAAACATGAAACTCTTGAAAAGTTTAAGGAATTCACACTAGAATTAGAAAAACAAATAGGTAAAGATACCCTCACATTAAGATTCGATCAAGTGAGAATATCTTAAAAATAAAATCTAGATTATCTAAGAGTGAATGAGATTCTCTTGCAGTGGATTCCTTCATATACACTGCAGCAAGGTGTTGTATCTAAAAGGAGGAATCGTTAATTATTAGATATAATGCGGTTAATAACAAGCCATGTAAATCTCCCAAAAATTGTTTTGGAGTCGTGCATTGATTGTAGTGTACAACACACTAAATCATGTCCCGTCTAAATTGGTTGACAAGAATCCATACGAGTTATGGAAAGGCAATAGTCCCAATTTATCTTATATGCAAGCTTGGGACCATGACGCTTATTTGAAGCGCCCTGAATCGGATAAGTCTGACGCTAAATTTGATAAATACGTATTTGTGGGATATTCAAAGCCGACGTTTGAATATTAATTCTATTATCATGAAGAAAGTCTTCATCTCACGATATATCGTCTTCTTAGAGAAAATATTTACTCTAGGAGAGGACAGTGGGAGTAAAATAGAATTTGAAAGAGTTCAAGAGTCCATAGATATAGTTAACCAAGTAAATAAATTCGAGTTTGATCCCATATCTGATATGGGACATATTTTGGATCAGGAAGTAAAGACTCTTGAGGACATGACAGCTCTTTGGGAATTTAGTAGGATCATTCGACCTTCAAGAAAGTATAAATCCATGATCATTAATCAGGTATTAGTGATCCAGGATAATGAACCTACTAGTTGCAACAAAATAAAGTCAAGTGTTGACTTAAAAGAGACAGCAAGAGGCCATGATACTTGAGATGAACTCGACGTATGTGAACAAGGTTTGGACCTTGGTAGAGCCTCCTGATGGAATAAAACCCATAAGGTTTCGTAAATAGTTTACAAGGGAAATGTCGATGTGGATGTGAATATCCATATATACAAAGCAATGCTAGAAGCAAAGGTTAAGTGTTGACCTTGGTGAAATCTTTCTCCTGTGGCCCTGCTGAAGTCCATTCGGGTTTTATTTGTAACAGTTGCATATCGTAACTAAAGGTTAAGATAAATCTCTAGGGAGCTGAAATTTTCGATTTGATGGGAAAAGTCAAAGTGTTTGATTTTATCAAATTTGAAAATAAGATAGTGGGAGCATTGTCGTATTCCTAATATTATAGAAAATGACATCCCTATAATTCAATCGTTAAAATAATGGTTGTTAAAGAATTTATTCATAAACGATATGGGATAAGCAACTAGATCTATAGAGGTAGATCTAGAAGATTGCTTAACTCATCCCAATTTACATAGATGAAATCTTGAGAAAATTTCATATGAAGAAACTAGTTTACTCTTAAGCGGTATGTTGGAAAGGTTTCAAACGTGAAGCAACCGTTGATTCAATAGTAGAAACCTAATACATGGTTACTTCAGAAGTAGCAAAGAGTTGCAATATGGATCATGATGTTCATAAATAAACTTGGAGTAGTTCCTGATATTGTTGATCACATACCATTGTATTGTGATAACAATAGAGCCATTGCGAAAGCAAATGAACTAAGGTCTCATCAATGATCCAAACATGTATTAACGCGATATAATCTCATCAGAGAGATAATACATAGAAATGACGTAAAGAGAAGAACAAATTCCCACATTTAACAATATTACAGATCCATTGACAAAGAGTTGTCGTAGCATAAACATGATCGTCATGTAGACTTATGATAATGGATACATAAATGATTGGATCTAGTGCAAGTGGGAGTTTGTAAATATTATGCCCTAGGTCCAATCAATTTTGGACATAAATACTTTTATATATAATTAATGCAATTAAATGTCAGATCTATTATTTAATTAATAGATAATTAAATAAATAATAGAGTCCGTAGATTCAAATCTTCGTAATTTATTAATCACAAGGAGTTGTGATTGTGAGATACAAATTACATCTGATTGAATCTTAAATTGTCCATGGTCATAAGTGATAACGAGATACGGATATCGTTATTACTGATAGATCATCACGTGTGACATTTCTTACTTGTGAAGTAAGTAGCTGATCTCACAAACTAAAGTGTGGTGACACTTAAATGACAAGTGGATGTTTTGTTATAGAACAAAACATTGGAGACCCGTCGAGAGATTCCATATTATAACTATCTGAGTGTCAGTGGTTAATCTCTAACGTTTGGTAGTGAAATTGGTCTTTAGACTTGAGGTCGTCATGGTACCTTACATGAGGACAGTCATACTTTGGCGGTGTTGATGTTGCTCTGTAAAGGGCCGCTAATACGACATCGTTCTGGTACGTCAAGAATTGTATGAAGGTTATGATTGACCAATAAAAGATTCGTCACTCTTAGATAGTAGGAAATTATGATCTGCGTTTTATTCAATTAAGTCGATAACAAAATCATTGGCCAAGGTGTACTCATAAGTCGAAAAGGAGTTTTCGACTTATATTAACTTAATAGTGGAGTGAAAGATATGATTGAAATTCGAGATTGACACAATTCCATATCTCGTAATTGATCGGATCATATTAACGAAGGGATTATAATTTCACGGTAAACGAACGAATTTGGTTTTGTCATACCACGTGACATTTCCCGTCACATGTATTGCCTTGACACATTGCTAGATGTCAATCAGGGATGGCGAGTGTAAATTGACGATAAATTAAAAGGGTGTTTTAATTTATCAATTTTAATTAGATGAAAATAATATTTCACGTCGTTAGATATCGTGGTCGGGAACCTAATGGGTCGCACACAAAAGAAAATTGGAAGATTTCAAATTGTTAATTGGTTAATTTAACAATCGTTGGATAAATTAATTAATTGGATTTGTTAATTATATTGTCGAATTTATTAATTAGATTAATTAATTCACGGACCGAATTTAATTAAATGGATTAATTAAATATTGGATCGGACCGGACCGAGCCCGTTTGGGTTTATATAAATACATGGTTAGGGTTTGAGGTCCACATGATTTTCATTATTCTTGTTGGCACAAGAGAGAAAACCCTAGTAGCTGCAATCTTGATCTCTGTATGGATTACCGTTGGAGGCTGGACAATTGGACAGCTGTGAATGATGAATCAAGATTGATGGAATGAAAAGAATAGCAAAGAAGTTTGCAGATCTGAAAAGGTACAATCTTATCACAATTTCTATCTAAACACGAAGACGATTCTTGGTGGGAATCAAAAATTATTTTAATTCCGCTGTACATGTATAAATAGATTCCCAACAGATAGCCATTTCACCCAAAAGAAAATCACCACTTGAACTCAATTGTTTCAATTCAATTACAAGTGAACATACTTCATGAAGATAAACATTAGAGCTAACATGCATTGAAGTTGTGAACTTCAAAATCACTTCATAAAAGCTTTTAAGGAACTTCACAAAAATAGAAGCATTTTCCCAATCAAAAGTTGTAGGAGGCCCACTTCTTCTACAACCATCATACTCCTAAAAATAATTTACATACTGCACATCATCATCCTCTAACCTTTCAAAAGCTTTTTGAAATTTTAAAGTGGCTTCCAACATCAAATATGTGGAATTCCACCTCGTGAGTACATCCAAAAACACAAGTGACTACAATCAATTTTTTCTTCACAAGTGATTTAACATATTTCGCAACACTGTGAATACTAACAATTGAATCATGTGCTTCCTTTAATCCCTCACACACAATCAAATTAACAATATGCGTACAACACCTCATTTGCAGATGCTTTCCATTTAAAACACACCCATCACCACTTCAACCAATCATCTTCCTCCCCATATAAGAAATAGCTGTTTCATTTGTAGTTGTATTGTCAACTGTAATTGTAAACAATGTCTCAATACCCCATACACGCAAACAAGCCTCAACAGCTTTAACAATGGTTTCACCCTTATGAATAGCAATCACACAAAAACCCAAAATCCATATATGAACTTCCAATCAAAATCAACATAGTGTGCTGTGAGAGACATATAACTAATATTTTGAATGGAGCTTCAAGTATCAATAGTAAGAGAAACTCTTTGATGTTGGATGATCTTTTTCAATTGCAATTTTTTATCCATATACAACTGATCTCCAACAACAATTCTACGAGATGGAGGATCAAATTTAGGACTTGCTACCTTACAAAATTGTCTAAACCCCTCACCTTCAACAAAGCCAAAAGGTAATTCGTCCAATATTATCATCTTAGCACATGCAAGCCTACACTCTTCCTTATTAAAGCCAACTAGAATGTTCACACAACCCTCAATTGGGCTTTTTGTCATCTATCTTCCAATCTTTTGAGATACTTCTTACAATAAAAAACCAAATGATTCCTCAAGTTAATAGTCCCATACTTCCTAGCCCCACAGGCATAATCCTGCCCACAATAGTTTTGTGCACACCTAACGTCTTCAGCGTTTGGATTCCCTACAACTGTGAAGTGTTCCCACACATCCAAAGATTTTTTATTTTTTCTCTTCCCTAAACATAATAGTGGAAGTGGGGGAACAGATGTTGAAGGAGTTTCATTAATAGCTTCAATTTCACTATTTATATATGTATTCATATCTATACAAATCAAACAAGAAACAAAATACTGCTAATACTGACCACGTTGCCTTTCTTCTATACAAAGGAATCAAGCTGAGGTTGATGCGATTGTGCTGGAGATTGAAGGAACTCCAAACAAATCAAAATTGGGGGCTAATGCAATTCTAGGAGTTTCTCTTAGTGGATGTTGGGCTTGAGCTGGAGCAAAGGGGATATCCCTCTACAAACACATGTACATTCAGGAAATATCAAACACCAAAGAGCTTGTTATGCCAGTCCCAGCATTCAATGTGATTAATGGAGGTAACATGCTGGTAAAAATAGGAGCAAAATTGGTAAAATAAGAGCAGAAATTGAATACCAAAATATCACTCTTTCTTCTTCTATAACCTTGCTGCAAATAATTCAAGAACAATGGACTAAATATATGACAGAATCTAGAAACCATATAAGAAATGGAATAAGGCTAATTAATTTAAACAATGTAACTGGTAATTATTGACTTTAAAATAACGAAATTGCATTACATATGAAGAAGCACCTCTTATTTTGACAACCAACTGGTACAATTTAATACTCACCTAAAGCAATCTACATGATTCAATAAATATATTAATAAACTGAGAACCCAAATGCAAAATACAAACACTTTAAAAAAAGAAGAAAAATATTTTTATCAGACTAATGTCTGGAATTTCTATAAAAATACCAAAGTGAGAAAATGTTGGTTAGTACCTCGTGCAAAAATGAACTTCTTCAATTCCGGATCAGGACTTTTATTTGGATGACTGAACACAAGAAATAAATATAAAGCAGTGTTTAACAACCCAGTTTGCAAAAAAAAAATCTTTAATACGAAAAAACAGAAGTGGAGAGAGAGTAACTCACAAACAATACATTGAAGAGAACGCTTGAAAAGTGGCAACCAAATGCCAAATAGTTGTAGAGAAGAGGAAGATTAGTGGATGCAGGCAGCTAGGTTTTAGAAGCATAGAGAAGGTTTCACGGGTTGATGCGAATGAGTCGGGATGGCAATCAAGCTTGTCGGCTCAAGCCGGTCATAGTTGGGACTGGAAAAAGCCTGAGCTAACCTGGCTTGAAGCTCGGGCTCACAAGCCTTTTCACATAAAAAAATAAATTAAATTATGTAAAGGTAGCTGAGTGCTTTTTTTAGGCAGCATCCTTAATTAAAAAAAAAATCGAGCATGTCCGACTCTGTTCAGTAAGGCCCAAGCCAAGATATTTTGGTCGAGCAAAAGCTCGACTCTGGCTTGTAAAAAAACTTGGACCATCTTACTTGAGCAAAGCTCGAGCTTCAAGTTTCGATTCGTGAATCGGCTTGTTGACACCACTACAAATGAGAGGAAGAGGGAGGGTTTTACATTTGATATTGGGTTGGGCCGGTTTAAATGGGTTTAAACCTAAACCGACCTGGCCCAAAAAAATTTATAATGGTTTGGAACCCAAATCGAACCGTTTTTATTCCAAAGTGACCTGACCAGACCTAATCCAGCCCAATTCGGGGTTGGGTTGGGTTTGCGATTTTTATAGGCAAAGCCCTAGCGATTGTACCATGCTCGGTCAATCGATGTTTAAAAAAGGTGTTATTGGATTCTTAAGCGTTCTTCTTTCATGAGAGGAAGCGTAAGCCTCACCATCAACCAAAACAATATTAAAATGCAAAATGAAATCATAATAAATCATAAACAATCTTCAAAATTCATAACAGAGGATGTACTTGTACACAAGTCTGGTACTCCCTATATAAGCCTATGCCACATGATTTTTACCCTAATATGCAGTGGACAGGTCACAAGCTCAAACTATTTTTCAATCTCTCTCAAAATTTCACGAAATTACTGAGATTATTGGTCGATATTGCGTTATATCTCTTTATCCGAGGACAGAGCACCACACTTGTTCAATATGCAGCAAGATGGAATGCAATCAGGATATTGACAGGGTACAACTCTTCCAAAACAAATATGATACACATTCACAAAATTTAACATGGACTACCATCAATACTTTAGCGTCATATCATTTTATCTTTGACACGTCTACTAATGCGTGTTCCATTCAACAATATTTTTTACTCATTAGGCATCAAGAAAGTATTTCTGAAGTTGAATGGTCTCAGAGGATTGTAGTACATTAAACTTGATCACTAGTTTTCGGAAAGAAAAGGAAAATGAATACAAGCTCTTAGTTCACTATTGAGAAACATAATTTAGCCTAAGATACAGAAATTGACTTCAAATTTTTATTAAGCCCTTGTTTGAGCCGCATTATGAAGAAAAAAAAAAGTATTTTGGAAAAATATTTTTTGGAGAATGTGTGGTTGAAAAATAAAAAAAGTTTTCAATGTACGTGTAACATTATTATTATTGTTATTATTATTTTGGGGAATGTATGATTCAAAATGAGTTTTGATAAAATAAATTTTTGATAAAATGGGACTCAAACAAGGGCTAAGTCCATTAGATGTACTCATAGTTTCTATATTAAAGAATGTTTGGCTGGTTATATTATAGTGTTACTATATGTACATGGTATTTGACATCGGGCCATAACGGGCTTGAAGCCCTTAGACTCTTTCTCTAGTAATGCATTGGTTGGCCCATTAGACCAATGAAGCTCTCTTACATTTAACCGAGGGGATCATGCTACATTTACAAACTTTTTTTTACAAAATTCTTTACTTACTAATCACAGTATGAGATGGAGACCACGAGCCGACATTTTTTAAATTCATGTGGGGACCGCTTGTTTGTGAGAGTAAATAACTCATTTTGTACACATTTATTTGTACATACATACATACATACATACATACATACATACATACATACATACATATATNAAGTTTGACGCAAGCCTAAAACTTATGCCCTTTGAGTCCACATATTTACACATGTTCGTTTTGTATTTTTGCTCTAGCTAAAACAAAGCTGTGGGCTTTTAGGGAACTTTAGGGTTCTAGCCTTATGGCAATTCAGTGTGGAGAGGAAATATGTACAGCAACCCAATTTTGTTCTCATTGTGATAGTGAAAGCAGACTGATCGCATAATTCCACGAGTGTGTGAAATGATACAAGTTATATTGACAGTGAATTTTGACGACAAGTATTGCACTCACAAAGACTAAATACTTATTATCAATTTTATCTTAAATCTAGCGTAAATCTAAATTAACATTGTAAAAATTTATCAAATCAAGTGTTTTTTTATAACTAATTTATCCTAAGATGTTCTAATTTAACCTAGATAATCTAATTTGTGGAGAACTTTAAGGATTAAGTGGTTAGGAACCCCAATTTCACTTAGGCTATTAATATTCACCAATCCAACATCATTCAACCTCTTTTTCATATGTATCAATAACGGAATTAACCAATTTTAGCTAATAGTCTTTCTCGAGCAAAACTAGATATATTCACATACTCGAATTTACTATATCTCTATATAAATTCATACACATGTAAAGGCATTAATTTGTAGGAATTCAATCAAGATTGCAAGCTATAATTATCTCTCGTTCTCTTATAAAAACATGTCACATATTGCACGAATCAAACAAATATATCTCATTTCGTTCTCAATAACATCCTTAAACTTGTAAATTGGTGATCAAGCAATTGAATGTTAATTCAACACAATATGCAATTAACACACATCAGAGTTACATGGAATCTTTTGAATTAAATAAGTATTAAATCTAAGCTATATCATTCATCATGACAACTAATTATTTATCCATTCATAATTTTGGAATAAAAAAAATCAAAGGATTAAAAATCACAGAGTTCAATATGATGAATAAAGAAAATAATCCTAACAATTGTTGTTCTTTAACACCCAATTTTCAATAATGGATCATCAATCTTCTCATCAAAGTAGATATATCTCTCGGCCAATTGTGTTCTTCAATCCTCAAACCCCAAATTAAGATGCAAATCTTGAGGGTTCGATGTATTTGAATGTGTAATAATTTTGCCTAAAGATGGTATATCTAACCTTCTTTAATTATGAATGAAAGATTCATATTTTAGACCTCAATTTAGGTCTAAAATAGAGTCCCAAGTTCATAGAGAATCATAATTTAACTATTTAAGTCAATTTAGGATATTCTAAATTGCTGAAAATTATACTTTCACTTGTTTAAATTGGTCCACGTTTCCTCATTTTGCTCAGATCGAATCCTGATATATTACAATTAAAGTCTTTCAACTTTCAAACTTGATTCCTTGGTCCTCAACTTCTAAAATATGTCCAACTTTACTCATTTTTTAAAAACTGTCATTTCTTTTCATCCATTCTCATCCAATATTGTTTTTCTCCGAAAATAATCAATGAGCAAGTATGATCAAGTGTGAGATGGTAATAATCACTTCCAAGACTACTTTTAATGGCCAACATAAAGTGTAATTCACAGACTATAGGTGGAACATCTTCTTCTTCATATTTCAATGATCAAGATAAGCATAATTCACAGGTTATGGGTAGAACGTCTTTTTTTCCATATTTGAAGGTAAATATCATAATTATATTGGAAAATATACTTCAGATCTATAGGATTTGAACTAAGAATTTCTCAACATTAATTGCAGCGTAGCAATGAAAAAGGTACACTCTTATAGATCACCTCTGCCCATAAGTTTATTATATAATCTGATGATAACAAAGATGTCTTTCTTGCGCAATCCTACAGAATTCAAGCTTCTATACAATCTTAATTTACAAGCCACATTGACCGAGTTTCCTCTACTGCTCAAGAATTACGTCTACTTCATCGCTACAGATTGAGTACACACATTCCAATTTCATACTGTCTAGTCAACGGCAATCCATGCCAGATCAATGCTTGACATCCAGTGACATGCCTCGCCTTCTCCAGGGGAGAATTTCAGAATCTTAAAAGCCACATGACTTGCAGGCCAAGCTGAGGTATCCATATGACATATTGCAATCACAGTGCTAACTGGGAGTCGAGTCTTGGGTTCAACCAAGTCTACAGCATAGAGTTGAGTTGAAGAGATTGAATGGCAGAAATAGGCTGCAAAGGGAGGATAAACTTCATGGTAGGCAGCTACTTTCTGCCTATCAAATTTCTTGATCTTTCTTATCAGGAATTCACTTCTCGTGCATTCTGAAGCCAGTGCAAGTAAGTTGTTTTTGCCTAAGGCAAACTTTGAGATACTAATCATTTTTTCTAGGGATTTTGGGCAATTCTTGATTTCTCCCTTTATAGCTTGTGCATTGCAATAAGAAAGAGTTGTTTCCATAGATTGCTTTGACAGTTCAAAGGACTTGGGAAATAGTTTTGTAATGCTTTTTCTGCTGATAGAAATTTTTGATGCTATTTCTTGAGGGAGAAATGCTCGATTTGGAATTTTTTCTTCTAAATCTGAGAGATGGAATTTATATCCTTCTGTAAGGATTGAGATCCTGTTAAGAAAATTTGTCTGCGTATTGGAGTTGACAGGTAATGCACCATTATTAGTGAAAATTGATTAATTCGAATGAAGAAGAGAGTTTAGCAAGTGACCAAAAATTGTGATTTTCTGAGAAATCGTTTTTGGATATCATTTTCTATAATAATTGCGATCCTTCTTTGTTAATGGGGATAGTTTTTTGAAGACAGAATCTGGCGTTCGATTTTGCACGTTTTTGGACCAGAACTTGTTTTGGTCAGAAGCAATGGATGATGAAGAGACTCGAGTTGACACAAAAGAAGAAGAAAAGGCCAAGTGAAAGAAGAGGAGAGAAGTGAGAGAATGTGAAGTAGCCATTCTTATTTCTAGAGAGACACACATAGAATTTACATAAAATCCTCAAGATAAGTTTCGCTAGGAAAATTTCTTCAGGCCATATTTATACTTGAAACTTGGCGAGTGAAATTGAAGATGTGATGTGATGCAGAAGGAATTAGATTTTATGAAAAAGTGAAATGGCACAGGCAAAAATAAACAACTTTTCAATTTTTGGAGAAATTTTGGGGTTCTTCGTTTTTGGCGAAATTTTAGTTTAATTTGATTGGAAACGGGCCAATAAATTTTAGTCTAATTTTTTTATTTTTCAGAATTTTCCTAGGGTTTTTCCTATATAAAGCATTGTAAGCCTTTCGTGGTCCCATTGATTAACAGAAATAAAAAATAAAAATAAAAATTGTGAGTTTTTTCATCTTCTAAGATTTGTTTATTTTTCCTATAACCTTCCGCTACATCAAGATGCATAGAATTTTGCATATAGGTTCATAAATCTATCTAAATAAAGAAGAATTCTTGACCAATCCTTGAAAAAGAATGCTCAAACTTCAAATTTTGGATTTTTCCCCACAAGGTTTTTTTTATTTATGAAAAAAAGAGGGGGAAAAAAGAAGAAGCGATAACCTAAGTATTTGAAATCGGATCTATACCAGGGATAAGAATCCAAGGAACTCCAAAAACTATGAATTTTAGTTCTCATTATAATATACACAAGTCTATCGAATTTTCTGCTTTCTTTTATTTATTTTGATAGTAATTATTTTGATAAGAATTCAAGGAACTCCTAGGAAAAGTCATTGGAAATTAATCAGATATAGGCTTTAGTTCTCATTATAATATACACAAATCTATCGAATTTTCAACTTTCTTCTATTTTTCTCTGTAATCAATAGTAGTTTAGCTACTATCATTTATTATTTTACAGTTCTCCGTACTCTTATTTCAAAATAAAGGAAAATGACAATGTAAACAATGGAGAAGTTAAGTGAAAAAAATAAAAATTATAGGGAGTGCTTTTGGACTTATCCGAGCTTCTAAATTTGATTAATTTTGTATCAATTGAGTGGATATCTACTTAATCTCTGTAAAATATATGGAAAAATTCCACTTGGATACAATAGGCGTGAAAAAGGAGTTTTGGAGCTTAAATGGAATCAATCGAGGCAATTCAAGATTATTTGCATTGCACGTGATCAATTAGAAGAGTTAAGAGGACAATTGGAAGAAATTTACAAGTCTCAAGAATTAAATTCAACAATTAAAAAGTTTAGAGGATTAAATTGTGATCTTTTGAAACTTGCATTGGAACAAATATTAATGATTTTGAAATATGGAGTAAATATTTGTTAAGATTCAAAGATGAAGAATCTGTTGGAAATTTTGTGCGGTGGATGAAACCGGATTATTCATACAGTATGTGCAATTTACATGTTGGATTTATGCATACCGTATATACAACATACCATATTTATACATACCGTATATGCATATTACCGTAATTACATATACCGATTTTGCATATACCGTATATGTAGTGAACAAGATAAAATATAGCAGATTTAAATTGCAATAGAATTAACAAATTAATTTGATCAAATTAATCTAGTTGGCCAAATAACGCAGATTAATTTATTATTATTATTATGTTTTTAATAAACATAAATAGAACGACAACATGGTAAACTGCAAATTATATAAAGCACTCGAATAAATTGCAAAAATATATAAAATCGCAGGAATTAAATCAATAACAGATGAACTTTCAACTCGAGGCCTGTGCGAGCACAATTTCTTAAAATAGATTCGTCCCCTCACCTTAAGTGCTAGATATTTAATCCGAGCGTCTCTTTTACAAGATACAACGATAAAACCAGTAGGATCTAGAACCGTAAATACTACTCCGGCGAATTGATTAGTATCCTAATAATATCTCCACCAAGACGACGCTGGCAGAACTCAAGATTGTATATGCAGATAGACGCAAAGAACAATAATAAGCAAAGTGTATATTTTCGTGTACTTTCTGGTGCGTGTGAGAAATTGCTGGAAATTGAGACTTAATATAAGATCTATGGCAATAAATATTGGAGTCACTTCAACTTCTGTTGGAGTTTTATCAATTTCAAACACTCAAAAGTCAGTTGGAGAAAGTAAAAAATTACAAATCGTGGACACTTCAAACGAGCCAATTTTTGCTCCGTTCGATCCGACATTCATGTACGCAGGTCGCCCCCGCACACAAGTTCAAGGTCCAAAGGTTATTTCGATCCGTGATTTGTACCCCCTGTGCGCGTGCATGGAGAGAGCCTCTATGCTACACATGATTACACCCTTTCAAAGTGTAGTCATATATAAAGTCGTTCATGCTTTCTTGATTTTCGTATGTGAGAAATCCTATTTTCCCACATAAATAATCTTCCAATGGTCAACTTGAGCTCCAATTTCTCATTCATCGAGCTTCATTTTTAGCAAGTAAATAAATGATTTTGATGCTCACACAAAGAAGATCACGGATCAACTTTGATCTTCCAAATTGGACCAACAGATCCAATCGAAAATTGTGTCAAATGTGAGCCATTTACTCATTTTTCCAACAGAATCAAAGATGCAAATAGGAACGGGCTCAAACTAGACAAAAGAGAAAATTTAGGGACCAAATTATAAATGGGGAAAGAATATTAGCCTTGCGATCCTAGGGTTTGATCCTTACAATTGCAACGTAGAAAGAATTTTGAGTAGCGAGCAAAACATTTAGCATCCACAATCACACCACAGTACATTATGCAAACGATTTCTTCGTTCAAATCAACGTCTATTTGAAAAGCAATTATAGTACGATTTTTTACGTAATTCTTCGGTCTATAATTATATAAACCTTCATCCAACAATCAAATGAGGCTACTGGGGGGGGGAGAGAAATTACATATATCCTATAAAGAGGAAGCCTAATGAGGAAGCTTTTGATCTACAAATCCATATTTCTTTCAAACTTCATAGAAATTTCGATACAAATTACACCTATCCACACAATTTTCATACTCAATTGCTTGGATTGTAGGGAAAAAAAAGAAAAAAGAAGAAGAATCAAAGGCAATGGATCAAGGGGTCATTGAAGAGATGCAAAGAATAGGAATTATAGAACGTAGTAAAAATTATTGTAAAGTCCAATAGTGGATAGAGATATATCGATATGCTTTGCATGATGTTATAAATATTCTTATGATTTACAAAATTGTAACATGTTTGTATTATTCATAGAGATATATGAGAGTCATATATGAGGATAAATTTAATTCAACTAGAGAGATTATTTAACAAATTAGGGAAATTGATCTTTATATCCAAACAAGTGTTGTCTAAATCTCGGAATGATTTTAAAATGGATTAAATGTAGGGAAGTTGAAAGTCCAAGTGTTTGTCATTACATAAGTATCATAAACATTTCCCAATTAATTAGTTAGATTAGTTCAAGTGGTTATGAGTTTAATTGTTAACATAGAACTCTTTCAAATTAAGTCTTGCTATTTGATAAATGTGTTTTTGCACACTTATTTAGGTCACAAACATGATTTAATAATAAGAAAAATGATTGAATTGTGACTTAATCTCGTTATATTTGTGAATTGTAGAGAACATCAATGAACATGGTGAAATTCAGAAGAAAAGAGCCGAAAAAAGACTAAAATGGAGCAAAGTGATAGTTCGAGGACCAAGTTGCAAATAATCCATAGATGAAATGGGAAATGGAATGAAGATTCAAGAGTGTTAGAGGTTAATCGGATGAGGAAAGGAGTCAAGAGGTGAAATATGATCGAAGTATTATCAAGTATCAACTTTCAGGCGAAAAAGCTATGCTCGTGAATTTTAATCTCTACTTGAGATCCATTTTTGACATAGTAAACATCAGAATTCGAGGAAGCCTATTTCTATCAAAATTGTAGATCTTTGAGTTTTCTTCACAATACACTTTGAATCACTTCAATCAAAGATTAGGAGAGAAATTTATGACCAAAATATTAAAAGTTATCCAGCGGAAAAAATGGTATAACTATGCAGTCGCATAGTATAAATTCTATGCGGTCGCATAGAAGCCTCCCGAGAACTTTTTCTCAAATTTTTTTACTCTAGACGACAGCATAGAAATGTACTATGAGGTCGCATAGAATAAGATTCGGGGCCGATTCAGCAGTTTCCTTATTTCGCCGAAACTCTTATGGAAAGAAGATTTTTAGGGTTTTATATAAACTAAAACTTGACTAGAATGAGGGGACGCCACTTTTACAGAATTGGAGGGGGTTATACACAATTTTGGAGGATTTGGAGAGGAAGAACAAGGCAAAAACAAGGCAATCCATTTCAAGATTCAAGATTTCACTTCAAGAATCAATTGGGTGATATTCTTCCTTGGTTTTAATTATTGCTTTTCTTTATTTCCTATTATGTTAGGCTAGATTTTCATGTGCTAGGATTTGCGGTGAACCTTACATTATGAACCCTTAATCTTGAATTTTATTTAT